GGTATATCCAATATGATAAAATCATATATAAATATATATTCATATTTATGAACTGCGCAGGGGTATTCAAGATTTCAAGTGAATGATAATGTGCCTATTATTCGTTTATTTCTTCGTGTTTCCTTCAATTCTCTTGGTATTTTGTATCCAAACTCTGGAAGCTGCAAGAAAAATAAATATATTGTATAAAATGATCAGCTTAAATATTGAATGATTATCGTTTTAACTAAATTATGAAATAGATTTCAGATGGTAACGATATTCAATTCAATTAAAATATAGGATACATTTTATTGATTTATTAAAGTATAGTATATGAAAACGAAACAAAAAGAATAGCATGAAGCACATATTAAATTCCATTGTTTCAATTACAAGATTATGTTGCAATCATGAATATATCACCGTAAATGGAAGAAAGAGAATATAGCAGAAAGATAAGCAGAAAGATATTTTGTTAGTGGAAAGATAGCAAAACAATAATATTTAGGCCTATGATAAAACCGATTCATGAACTAAAATATATAGGGCCTAGGCATATTAAATTTTTCGTTTTCGCAACTCCTTCGGCGCTCCATATATTTGTTCGAAATATACCGCGACCGAAACGAAGCGCGACCGAAACAAAGCGCGACCGAAATGAAGTGCGACCGAAATGATCGGCTACCATAGAGGCCTATTAAAATCAATGCAAAATTATATTGGCCTAACGATAGATATCTAATTCACTTTCCTTTTTTGTTGATCAATATAATTGTAAATAATTAAATGATCGGTAGGTAGTGAGTGGTACTGTAAAGATATTAGCCAGCCCTAGGCCTAGACTTTATTCCAGCAGCCAACTTTTACAGACTTTTCAAGTACTACAGAATTTCCATAGTTATTCCTAGTTTCTGTGGAAATTTTGCCTAATTATGGATGTATAGAAGTGGTAGTGGCGAAAAAAAGCTGCTGTTTTCTATCGGCACTGCCGCAGTGCCAAAAAGCTGCCGTTTTCTATCGGCACTGCTGCAGTGCCAAAATGTTGATGTTTTCTATCGGCACTGCCACAGTGCGAAAAGCTGCTGTTAATTAATCGAATCGATGTTTTTTGAATTGGTATAATTCATAATTCATAATTTTATTTCACTCAAAACGTAGTAAGACTGGTTAGGCTAAAAGGGAACATGTCCCTGTACAAGATGCCTACCAGAGAAACAATGATAATGTTAATGGCAAAGACATAATAATAATAATAATAATAATAATAATAATAATAATAATAATAATAATAATAATAATAATAATAATAATAATAATAATAAAAAATAAATAAATAATAAAAAGTAAATGATAATAATGAATGAAGATCAAAATAGTGGCATTGAAGTAAAATCAGTTATTAAAACAAGATTTGGAGGGCTGGACTGTCATGAAGGTGTTGTATTATTGATGTTCTAAATA